TCAAAAATAGGCGGAATTTATTTCCGCACTCCGCTAGCGAGGCGGTCTGTAGTACGCGCGCAAATCGAAAATACACCGGGTTACAGAAATACCGGGGGACACTTAGGAATTTACTGCGAAACGTTTTCGCGCGTTCTTTCAGCCTCTCTCTTTTTTCTCTCATTCTCTCCCTCTCTCTGTCTGTGTTTCTACGCTCGGTATTATGGCCGGTGATCGTTGAACGACGCGTAGGTAGCACGTAACAGAGTTGGCGATGCGGACACGACAGGTGATAGCGCGGAGGAAAGCGGCGGGTTCTGGCTCGCGATGCAAGTGGAACGGACCTTCGGACGATAGTGGCGCGTGTATGAAATATGAATTTCATAAGCGTTGAAATTCGAACGAGACTGATTACCACCGGGTAACAACGAGATTTCGATAGCTGTTTTTTTTTTTTTTTAATTAATTCGATATGGAGATCGAGAGGATCGGTCTGTTTAATTGAGACGTCGAATTCGTTGGCGACGAAAGGAACGAAAGGGTGCTCTTTCAAAGAAATTTCGCATTTTCGGAGAGAAGATTGAATTTAATTACGCCTCCAGATGTGAAAGAAACGAAATCGAGAGAAGGATTGACAAGCGGAACAAGCGGCATGGTGCATCGACAGGACACAAGGTGATCTCGATCGCTTCGCGATCAGGAACAAGGAAGCCAATGATTTTCTTGACTCGTCGCATCGTGTACCTTGTCACGATACTGCGGAAACGAAAGCAAGGCGATTATTATCGCTAATTACGTGGCTCGGCACGGTAGAGCCTGTGAGACCTGGTAATTTGATCGAGGGAACAAAAAAATAAGAAAAAACAAAAAACGAGGATGCAAGAGAGAGAGAGAGAGAAAAGAGGAGATGTGTATAGAGAGATGGAAATGGGGAAGAGGGGGAAGACGATGTTGTCCGTGGTTATCGAGTCGGTTTCGAGACGAGGACGATAATTGAGAATCCTTAATTACAATCGTTAGCAAAAGGAGACACCGCGGAAACGATGGAAAGGTTCGTGCCTCTGCCAATTCCACACGTTTACCAGCAAGCGAACGAGGAGAGATAAAGAAAATAATTTCACCGAATTATCGTGAAAACGATATTATCTACAGCAATTCAGAGTGGATATTTGTCAATCTTTGACACTCGAAATTAATGTATACGAAACCGTACCGTGCGCGCTTTCTCTCACGACTGTCTACTCTAAAACTGTAGCGGAGAATTTTGCCCGTGCGAGATTCGCGAATCTCGAAAGTGGATGGTTGTAAAAGTGACACGACGTAGTTGAACGTAAAACTTCCGAGCAACGTTACGCTATCAAAACCAAGCACGTCGTATAGGAAAAAAATTACCGAAAAACAAGAGGGAAGAGTGTTCTAACCAATCTCGTTTTCCATAGGCGACGAAATCTTCGAGAAGAAAACCGCGTACAAGCGAAAAATGAATTCCATCGGCGTGAAAGGGCAGAAAAAACGACGGCGTCTAATAAGTCACCGCGGAGTGGAGCTATGAAGATATCACTGGTCGATCGAGTAGAATGTCTTAAATGGGAGAGAGAGTGAGTGAGCGAGCGAGTTAGAGAGTTAGAGAGAGAGAGTGTGTGTGTGTGCAAAAGAGTGAGTGAATGAGAGAGAGGAAGATAGTAAAAAAGTGAGTGAATCAGAGAGAGTAAGAGTGACTGAGAAAGAGAGAGGGAGAGATTAAAAGGCACAGCGACTTTAAGGCGAGATCGCAACGAAGCGAGAACCGAGAGCAGACGCGACACTGATAGGTCGTCCATGGGGGACCAATTCTCGATCAGCCTCTCGCCATCGTTACGCCGCCGATTACGCGACTAGGGAACGACGAAGTTTCGTCTGGCGCTAACGTCCAAGAGTTTCGTTGTGGTAATTCCGTGTTGTAAACGGCGCTCGCTGCCTCGGGGCGAATTATTTGGCATGAATTTCCACGGTGCGCAGCTGCAGCCGCGATGAAATATTCATAACGCGATTGAGGAGCTTACTCTCTCTCTCTCTCTCTCTCTCACACACACACACACACACACTCTCTCTCTCTCTCTCTTGTGAGCCAGACGCGCTCGATTCGACAAATGCGAATAGCGGGAAATTTTAACGATACCCGATAAGAGAGGGAAATAAGCAGAGTTATTGCGAATAAGTAACGGCCGCCTCGATCCTCGTTTCTTATAGCGCGCCGTTGCGTTTCGCAATTTGCATATTTCTTTGTCCGTCGAATCGGACGTCTTTGGAAAAATTGCGTCACTTCTCTTAGCCGAAGAGAACACTGTGCATATCTAAACGCGTTATTACTATGCTGTAGGTATTAAACTTGAATCTAGAAATGTGAGAGGAATCGGTCAAGAACGTAGAGAGGTAGGTATATAACGTATGGAAATAATAATTTAGATATTTTAAGAGGAATTATTCACAGACTGAAGAAAGTCGAGGATCAATCCTGTTCGAATACGAGAGGCATATTAGAAACGATCCTCCAACTCGAGATTGTATATACTCCTAGTATTAATCCTTTAACACTCACATTACTTCTTTTTCTTTTTTTTGTACTTTTTAACGAAATCGTTTTCTCGCCGTGCAGAAATCAGTTCTCTATTATTTACAATTCTGTCGCAATACTGTATTAAACGCGACGCAATAAGGAAAATGCTAGAAGATGCAATTACACAGAAACGGCAAAAACGTAAAAATGTTGTTTCACATTCTTCAGATAAGAATGTCTAAATATAAATCTAGTTCGATTGGAAGACGCGACGGAGACGATCTCAGACCGGAACCGATCGATCGAATCGACCGGTTTCGAGGATTCGCCGTAGTCCGCGAAACAAGGCTCATTTACAAGCGGATAGGTCAAGGCGACTGTGCTTAAACGTCGCGATATAAATCACCAGGACGAAGAAAGGGGGCGACGAGCAGGGGCACGACGCGGAAGACGCGTACACCCTCTCTTTCTCGATCAATACGGCGCGCGCGCGCCACTCTGCGCCCCGTTCGCGATTATGCCCCATTGGAAACATAAATCAATGGAAATCCATCGATATTTGACGAGAATTCGCGAAATTTAGCAGCTGTATTTTTTACACAGTTGATACAGCAATTTTCGACTGTGTCATTAACGCTGGAATGTCACTCGTGCGTTTCTTACTTCAACTATACTCTGCGTGACGATTCATTCACACTTGAAAAGCAGAAATGATCAATCTTTTGTTTCTTATTATGAGTGGTAAGGTTGAATAATTTTGAACAGTTACATTGGATACTATTTCAAAGTTGCAAAAATTTTGGTCAAAAATTAGGGGAGAGCCTGGATGAGATTTCTAGAGTTAAGATCAATTTTAAAACAGAAATATTTCGTTATTTCAGGATTACAAAAAGTTCAGTATAAGAAAAATATTGACTCATTCGAAAGAGTCTGAATGAGAATTCACTTGGGGTAGCTAGCTCTCCATAATTAAGATCAATTTAAAAATACAATAATTGACAAGGAATGCACTGCACGAAATTTCAAAATACCAAATGCACAACTGATTGAAAGAATAGAAAAAAGCCTAATTGAGAATTCTTCCAGGGCAGCATTCCAGGGTTGAGATGAATTTTAAAAGACACTATAATGCCCGAGGAAACTATTAATCTTGCACGATAGTGGAAAAAATGTTTGTTGCGAATCGAAGGAAGAAATTATGAAGATTGCATGTGTAATTTGGCGAAAATTAAAGGAATGAAAATGGATTCGAGCGTATTTTCCTTTGGGAGGCGCTATCGTATGAACTGACGGTGTCCTATATTAACGCGCCGGCTACCCTGCGGGTCGTCGACACGGCTGAGCTTACAGGCTTAGTTGTAATGCTTGTATAAACTTCTGACCGACGCTAATGCGATGAAACGTAATGTAAAATAGATATTCGAACGCCTCGGAGAAGTGGCTGCGGTTCGCGACCATGATGGCGCGGTGGATTAACCGAATCGTGGCTATTCAGTC